GCTATCTGTTCCAGAAGAACAGTGTGGGTTGATCCAGCTGCTTGCTCACCCCACCCCAGCCAGATGGGGGAGAGAATCAGAAGGGTAAAAGCGAGAAAACTCATGGATGGATCAAGATAAAGACTATTTAATAGGTAAAGTGCAGCTGAGCATGCAAAGTAAAATAAGGAATTTATTCACTGCTTCCCAGCGGCAGTTAGGGCCTTGGCACACTGACGGTTACTTGGGAAGGCAAATGCCATGACTTCAAACATCCCCCCTTTCTCATGCTTTCCCTGAGCTTTTAGTGCTGGACACAATACCATACAGTATTCAATATCCCTGTGGTCAGTCGGGGTCCAGCTGCCCTGGCTGTGTCCTCTCCCAGGATCTTGCCCAACCCACCTTACTCACTTGCAGAGGGTGCATGGGAGAAAGAAGCACAAAAAGCAAACCTTGGTGCTGGCAAACCCTGTTCAGCAATAGCCAAAACACTGGTGTGTTATCAACACTTAGTCACAAATCCAAAATACAGCCCCATACAGGCTGCTGTGAAGACAATTAATTCCATCCCAGCCAGAAACTGTACAAAAAAGAAAATCTAGCTCTTGGTACCAGTATCTGCTGAGATCCACAACAGCCAAATAAAGACTAGCTCTTACAATCACAGAATGGTTTGGGTTGGAAGGGACTTTTAAAGATCGTCTAGTCCAACCCCCCTGCCATGGGCAGGGACACCCTCCACTAGACAGGTTGCTCAAAGCCTCATCCAGCCTGGCCTTGAACAGCTCCAGGGCCGGGGCATCCACAGCTTCCCTGGGCAACCTGTTCCAGTGTCTCATCACCCTCACAGTAAAGAATTTCTTCCTTACCTACTTTATTCTTCTGGAGAAGAACTGTACAAGGTCAGTCCGTTTTCAAAACCTAGAAATAACCATGCCATAAAAGTTATGGCAATGATCAGTATCTCTTAGGACTACTGGTGAAAGACCAGACTCGGGCGAGTCTATCAAGCTCAGAGCAAGACTAGTCACATAGGCCTGGAGCTTCTAGCTCTCCACCTGGTACCACAACACCGTTTGCCAAATTGCTCCCCGGTTCCCCTGTAATGAAATACTGGTCTCCACGAACAAATGGAAGGCAATCCTACAGTACGTGTATGCCACGGGCTATGTCATCATCACTCCACAACCTCGGACAAGTGGTTTTCCAAGGAGGCAGTCACCATGTAAAGTTGCCCTAAAAACTGTATGTCATCTCAAAACAAGTGGGTCATGTTGCTACCGTCTTTTGCCCAGCACTGATGGCTCGGTCAGTGTTTTGCCCATAGCCCACACCCAGTCAGGCCTGCTTTATACACTGTGCAGGGATATAACCACACTGCCAAGGATAAAGCTTTTTTTAAAAAGGTACTCGAAACAAGCCAAGTCCTAGTGTAACAGTATGTACAGCAGTCCAGCTCATTCCCCTTCTTTCATATGTGAGAGCTGGCCCAGTTTAACAACATTAAACCAGTTAAAAATAGTTCAACTTTTGGGAATATTGGCTCTAAAGAAATGCTT